CACACCGGCTCCCACACTGACCCCCCACACCGGCTCCCACACTGACCCCCCACACTGGCTCCCACACTGACTCCCACACCGGCTCCCACACCGGCTCCCACACTGGCTCACACACTGACTCCCACACCGGCTCCCACACTGACCCCACACGCTGGTCACTTCAGTTTCCATTCCCCCATCAGTGAAGGAAGGCCTGAGATCTTCTCCCCACATGCCTGCCAGCATACATTGTCATATGAAAACAGCTTTCTTTTCTTTCTTTTTCTTTTTACATAACAAGATTTCTTTGTGTAGGCCTGGCTGCCTGGACAACTCCATAGACCGGGCTGGCCTCAAACTCAGAGATCCACCTGCTTCTGCCTCTTGAGTGCTGGGATTAAAGGTGTGTGCCACCACTGTCTGGCGAAAACAGCTTTCTTTAAAAGATGGCATTTAAGGCCACTCCTCTGATGGAATGGTGACCAACTAACTTTGCTTACCCAGGACTCAGGGCTTTCCCACAATGCAGGACTTGGAAGCTAGCCACACACAGGCCTACTGGATGGCCTTTCTGTGGTCACAGTTCTTTGTCATTGTGGATCATGGCCTTACTTACACACTTTAAAGTCCAGTTCGCTCCAAAGTCACCTGTTCAGAATGACTGGACTCATCTGAGATGACTGAATGCTCTCTCGCCTTCCTTATGCGCCCTGCCCTGCCTCCACTGACTGGACATTCTGGGGCTCTCCTGTCTGTTAAATCTCAACTGTGCCTCCACAATTATCCTCAGATTCTGGAGGCCTGGGACCCAATAGTTCCCCAAATTCATCTTACTGCCGGAAGCTAACAATACCCCTGTCTTCTCACCTCGCATCCCTACCCTCCACTCACTCAATCATGAACCGGTCTTCTTCAGGGTCCACAGCAAACATCACCTCCTCTACCAAGCTGTAAGAACCGTTCTCACTTATTCTCCAAAAGTTCCCATAAAGTGCTGCCTTGTAGAAATCAGCGTGAGTGTGTGTTTGTGTGTGTGTGTGTGTGTGTGTGTGTGTGTGTGTGTGTGTGTGCATGAGTACATGAGTATGCACGTGTGTTTTTATTCTGTGCTATGTCGCAAGTTGTCAGGGAACAGGAGAAATGTGTTACATGTTAGTCTCCATTCGGGACTTGGTAAACAGATGATCTATCTTAACACTTTCTCCTGCACTCAACTCCAATCCCGGTAGATTGTTTGACTGTCAGCATGAGGCAATTCTTTCATCAGCCAGAACTGAGGCTCAACTGGCCAGTGAAGACATGCAGCAGAGGGGAGCTGAAACAATGCACACATGCATATACTGCCTGACACATTCAGAAGCAGTGGGGCCCTCCCTCTGCACTCCCTCCTGTGGGAATTAACTTCTATCTGCTCTGCCCCCCCACCCCCACCCCCACAGTTGGACCGCTGTTGAGGGCATACCATGATCTATGTCATGGTAAGCAGGATGGGGTCATGTCTACCTTCTTGTCTAGTTTGCGAGCCCCTGGAAAGTAGAGATGTGTCCTGATCAGGTATAATACAAATAGTTCTCTGAGAATTTCACATGTACTTTGGTGTCAGAAAAGCCTGCTGTTCTAATTCTAGGAGTTAGGAAGGTGTCACTAAACAAAGCACACAGACAAAAGCCTTGGGCTACCCCAGTTCCTGCAGCAGAAAAGCCCTGTGGCGGAAAGCAGATGGGCTTTTGATTATCACAGATATCTTTGCGGTAAAGCAGGAATGCTGCTGAGGTCACATATCTCTTACAGACACATGTCACTAGGGCCCACATTGCTAGGTCACCACCAGTCCCCATGCTCTAGGTCTTTGAATACTGAATAGCGCTCTCCTTGCCAGCCTGGAAAAGGCACAAACCAGGGGGAGAGGAGACTAGGCCCAAGGCAGGAGTAACTGACTCTGACCATCTCACCCTGGTGTTTTTCAATCTATTACACCATTTCTAATAAGGTGAATAATCAAGAATTGGCATTACATTATTATCTTATTAATATATTTTGTGTAATTTCCCCATTCTGTTCTACCATTTCTGAAAAAAAAAAAAAAAAAAAAAAACACTGAAAAATGGATTGTTACTTTCTTATGCTACCTCAACCTCAAGTATGATTCCTGTTAGATTTCCAGGGCCGTTTAGGTTCTGGGGCTGCTTAAAGTGGGTCCCTCTGTGTGAAGCAATTGTGTTTTCTAGGGAAGGGAATGTCTAACTCTCATCACTAACAATGTAGAGAAAAGCCGACTGGCATGTCTTTCTTACAAAGCTGCTTTCTGATTTTTTTCAGTGCCTTTCCATGGAGTAAAGGTAACCGACCCCTTCGGCTGATCTGCCTGAGTGACAGGGTTCCCCAAAACACAGGGCTTTGGCTAACCCTGGTAAACTTAAGCAAACCAACTGACAAATATAGACCCCTGCTTCACCTCTTTGGCAGAGTCTTGATGTGGAATATTATTTTAAGATGTGTTACATTTGTTTATGCTGTGGAACACTTGTTCAATGATGCAAAGATGTGGTGCATTCTTTTCTCTTGCATTTGTTTAACTCTGTGAAGCTGTGTTACTGTGCCTGTCTAAAACACCTGATTGGTCTATTAAAGAGCTGAATGGCTGCCAGGCGGTGGTGGCACACGCCTTTAATCCCAGCACTCGGGAGGCAGAGGCAAGTGGATCTCTGTGAGTTTGAGGCCAGTCTGGTCTACAAAGAGAGTTCCAGGAAAGGTGCAAAGCTACACAGAGAAACCCTGTCTCGAAAAACAAAAAAAAAACAAAAACAAAAAAAAAACCAACAAAAAAAAAGGCTGAATAGCCAATGGCAAGGCAGGAGAAAGGATAAGCAGGGCTGGCAGGCAGAGAGAATAAATAGGAGAAGAAACCTGGGAGGAGATCGAGGAGCATGAAAAGGAGAGAGGACATCAGGGGCAAGGCATCCAGCTACACAGCAAACCATGGAGTAAGAAGTAAAGAAAGGAATACAGAATAGAGAAAGATTACAGCCCAGAGGCAAAAGGTAGTTGGGATAATTTAAGAAAAGCTGACTAGAAACAAGCCAAGGCTGGGCATTCATAAGAAAGAATAAGTTTCCGTGTATTTATTTGGGAGCTGGGTGGCCGGCCCCCTCAAAGAGCAAAGA